TCCTGCGGCGTCGTCGGAAGTGCACGCTTATGTCGGACGTCTGGCTGGTGACGGTGGAGCGCCGCGTGGACACGAAACTGCTGCCAGCCGAGCGAAGGTCCAGAGGACGCACGCACAGAAGAGTGCCGAGACACGGGATGTACTTGGCCAACGCCACCCTGAACAACAATATCAGGCCCGCGCACACACACACACGCACACGCACTCATTATAGTTGGGATGCAGCTCCCTTGATACACAGTTGATGAATGGTAAATGAGTTGTTGCATGTACAGTATAGCGCTTTTCGAACTCAGCTACTCAAAGCGCTCTCCACCCATTTCCTGGTTTACCTGCTGATGATGATGCAGCATCAAGAGCAAGTGGGGGGTTCTGTTATCTTGCGGACACTTCCATACAGTTGCGATGGCTGGTGATTGAACCCCCAACCTCCGGGTTGGAAGACGACCGCTCGTCTTAAAGCTTATTCTTATTCTTTGGCTTTTGACTCAGCATGAGACTTGATTTTTAGTTTGAACGGTTTACCGCTTTGTACTGTCTTTGCTATCAAGTGATTGTTTTTGTGTTTTATTATTTGTTGTCGGATGAATTCTTTTTGCTCCATGTACAGCACTTTGTATACAGCGGTGGTTGTTTGCAAGTGAAATCGAGTTGAGTGGAGTTGAGTTGCTTGGACCAAAGTCAAGTGACCGCGAACAGGATAAACGCTCTCGAAAATGGATGGATGGAAGGATTCCACTTTGATGGCTTCTGTGTAAAAATGAGCTTCGGATCGCTCCACGGTGCAAAAAACTTTAATCAGCAAAGTGACGATGACCACGTTTTAAACCCTTTTTATCCCGCAACGATGTGACTTGCACTTTTGTGTGTATTCGTGCGTGCGTGTGTTCTTCTCCAGCCCAGTTAACATTTAGGTCAACTGAGTGGGGCTTGGAGTTAACACCTGAGTAAGTATTGACAGGAAAAAAAAAATAGGGAGAGAGCAGCACTGTGAACGAGTGGTACGCCGTCGGTCTCTTTGGGCGACCGTCGTAGCCAAGCGGGGAAACCCGCCGGGGTCCAGTCATCGACCGCCAGAAAGAATGAGGCCAAAGAAGGTCACACTTGGTCAGGTGTGGACTCTCCTACCTGTACTTGGGGTGCGTGATGGCGTAGATGATGGGGTTGTGGATGGG